CTGTGTGAATTTTTTTATAGCCGATACGCTAACTCCGGTATAAAGAAATATCCGCTCAAGTTTACGTTTAAGCGGCAACTCAAGCGAACTCTCTGTAGCTTCTTCATCGCAAACCCTATTATGAACACAAGGAAATACACCAAATGAGATTTCATCCACGTTATTATTAACTTACCTATATAAATTAGCTATTATTTCTCTTGTCTGACTATGTAGCGTCTTACCCTTAACAAATTTATTCGTTTTAAAACACAAATATACGATCAAACTTGATATTAATAATTAAAAACTACGAACGAAAAACATTATAACAAGATAACAAAACAATAAAACACAACTTAACTATCAAATATACGAAAAATATAGGAATAAAGTTTAGGATAACCGGTATAAAATAATGAAATAAAGTAATAATGATCAAAAAAATGACACCGCCACTGGATATTTCAATAGTATTCAATATTCCTACTCTTTTCAGAAGAGACCGTGAAGTTGGGGATAAAGCAAGCGAATAGGAAAGGACGTAGTCTCGCCAATCATGTTCGATGAATAGGCGGCCATGCGCGGCCATGCGCATTCAACTTTCATAATAAGCAGATTATACAGAATGAAAGAAATAAGTTATTAAATAAAACATATCGAACAATATGAACTACGTTAAAATTCCTTAGTAATATTCGTCAGAATATATGCTAAACAGATTATATATAATAAAAATATATTAAATTTATAGTTCATGTCTGGCAATTTTGCAATTTTATAGATAAACGTGGCAATATCGATTTTTTTTTCTCGCATTCCTTCCGTAGCTTCAGATCCGCTGGTCAAACAGTAGTGACTTTGACAGTAGTGACGGTGATAATACTACTACAGATAAAAACAGTCAAAATAACAATGACAAAAGCTACTCTACTTCAGTGGCCTACATTTACGTTAATTCAAAAAGTCTGTATGCCACTGAAGTAAACCCGCTTTGCAAAGTTTTTTTTTACTCTAATATCGTAGGCCATAACATTGTTGGCCCACAATATGCCAACTTTGGACATCTGAATTTGGACGTACTTATGTCAACTTTGGACATTGGACATCCGACAAAGTGCCGCTTCGTACAAATATTTTTTGCTTAATAATTTTTTTATTCATCAATTTATGGGTATTCATATAATTTACAAATACCTAAGTAAATGAGTATTTCTTTTTTATTTTATATTTTCAAGAAATTTCAAGATTTTCTTGATTTCTTGTCAAGAAATCTTGATCTTGAGAAGTAATTTCTTGTCTTGTCGTGAAAATCAAAAATCATTTCTTGTCTTGATCTTGTCTTGAAATCAAGACAAGATCAAGACAAGATCAAGAAGTTGTCAAGAAAAGGACGACCCCACATAGTTTTTGAGAATTTTTTTTTTTTGGAGAATTTATTTTTCCAAAGCAGACCCACAAAATACACAGAGAGTTCCAATATTTCGTGGACACAGAACAATTACGTAATTTTTGAAACAAAATAAGTTGATTGCACATAATTTACCTTTATACAAAAGTGCTTCGTTTGGCCGTTAGAGGGTATTAATCGAAAATAAACACGAACGTTAATTAACATAAATTGCATTATTTTTTTTAAAGTTTTTTATGAAGCTTGTCAAATATAATAATTTGTGATACTAATCTAAAATCCATATTTTCGCCAATTAGATTATTAGAGCATAATAGATTGTATGTGGGTGCATCCACACTATCATAGAAACGGCGTATCGGCGTAACGGCGGCGGCGTAACGACCTTGAATAGATTTCCAGTAATTCTATTGGCTGAAATTTTTGACAGATGAATTTGACAGATAAAAATTCTGACAGATGAATTTTTCAGCCAATAGAATCCGGAGTTTAACCATAGTTTTTTTATTGCAAATAATTAATCTTCATATAATTTTATGACACCCGTATTTTTTTATTTTACTTCAATTTTATCTCATTTTTTTAAAAAAATTAATCAATATTAAGAATTTCAAATTTATACTTTTGCGATCTCTGACGTCACCTATCAAAAGTGTCACGGTTTGCCACCAGGTACAAAGGTAAATAAAAACCATTTTTCGAAATGTATTTTAAAGTAGATATAAAATTAATTGTAAAATAAAACTTAACGAACTTACGTTAAAATGATCTTCACAGCAAAATCTCGTACTTATGCTGACATATTGTTGTTTTGCCGCTTCAAACCAGGCTCTTCGACGGCTTTCATCCACAGGAACAGTTATAAAAACTTTTTCTGAAGAGCCTTCAGAGTTATTTAGACAGCCCTTCACAAAACAAACTTTAAAAACCTTCATTACAAAAATAATAAAGAGGGTACAATAAAACAAAATTGAAAACTCAAAGTATTTAACGCCAAACGCAAAATCAACAAAATACAAATCTAACCACAAAACACATACACAAGGAGAAGTGCGAGCGCCTTGCTAAATATTACCTAGTAGTGGGAACTATCGAATGAATACTATCTAAACATTCGATAGTTGCAATTCATTCGAATAATTCGATGGTTAGTAAGAAAACATTCGTTGAAAACTATTCGAATAAAAATTATCGAATAGATCCGTCATCTGCCTTGAAATATTGTATTCTAGTAATTCGGCAGCAAAAACTATTCATTTATAAAATTCATTCATTTATGAAATTCATTTATTCGTCAGGATCGACTATAATAAAATATTAACTGAATTTTAGTTGTCGCCCGGCGACGTAGGTTTCGGCAATGCTATGAAAGAAGCCGGCATCTTTGATTTTTTGCGGAGTCAGATATAGATAAGGACACATTATTTTTTTATTGAGGTGCTAGTATTTACACAGAAAATACATTATGAAGGGCGCTGTTGCCATATTTTGGTATTAGTTGATATTAGCAAAGAATATTATTGTTTGGCTTTAGTTAGTTAGGGATAGTATGTCTATATATTCTGCATTTTTTTTTATTAATATTCTGTTGTTACACTGCAATAATACTTGTTATTTTGGATGTAGGAAAATTATTTTTAATGTTTTTAAGCAAAGACTGGTTTAATAAATAATAATAACAGGAATAATTTGTTATACCTATTAACAACAAAATTTAAAATCATTTAATATAAATATTTTTTTTAAGCAGTAGCAAAATATAAACAACAAATTAGATGTCAAAATTATTTATATTAGATCCTATATAAAAATAATATAGTCTCTAAATTTTTTGTGTGTGGCAACGTTGGTTTATTAAATAATAATAATTACAGAACTAATTTGTTATATTAACAACAAATTTTAAAATCATGAAATATAAACATTTATTAATTTTCTAAGCATGCAGTGTAATGGAAGGAAAATATAAAGAAAAAAATTAGAAATCAAAATTATTTATATTAGGTGCTTTATATTACTATTTAAAAATTATATTTACTTTTACTGGCATTTACTTTAAAAAATAAATGAAATATTTCTTCGCAAAAACTACATGTAAGAGAATTAGCATAAAGAATTAGCCAAATTAAATTGGCACGTGTAAAACTTTCATTTTAATTTTCTCACCCCATAGTTTGAGTTCGATAACCCCATTTACTTAACCACATTACTTAAATATGATTATTAAGTTCAACCAATTCATATTATTAAAACATCTAAAATACAAATATGTATTTTTAAAATTAATTGTAAGTTCATCTCATCTCTGTTAAAATTGCTACTTCTCAAAATTTCCCATTAAAAAATAGACCATATACCATATAAAATTAAATAATTGAAAGATCGGACTACGGAAAACCACACAATTTTTTTTTTTTCATTTATTTTAACTATTTTAATAAACGCAAAAATAGCACAGTATTTATACAGCGAAGTTATAAAAATTTGGAAGAACTAATAATGCACTGACGCATACAAAAATCAAACGAATACTAAATTTCATTTATCAAAAGCATTCGATAGTCGTGGCTCAACGATAACCATTTAGTCGCACGGCGAGGTTGTCACATATGCTTTAGTATACAAATGAATGAATGATTCTATTCGAATAAAACCATTCGATAGTTGAAATCATTCATTCATTAACCATTCGATAGTCTAATTCATTCGATAGTTCCCATCGCTACTAAATATTGGAAAGTGAAATTGACGTTTAAATTTGACACTGTTGACAAGTCTACTGCTACTAGCGCCCCCAATATCGCTTGTAGGAACTACGGACTAGATTGTCACGCATGGCGGGAAGTTTAAAAAAATAAAAATTTTTAATTCTTCATTTATTTTTAATTATGACATAGATAAAAACACAAAAAATACACCATCTTTTAAAAATAAGTTTAATATCAATATCAAATAAAAAAAATCGGTCGTAGGTTGAGTTGGAAAAGATTTATCCTAAAATTTACGTAGGGGTGGGAGTAGTTTTCACCCTTCCCGTATTCTATCTTGATTTTTGAGAAAGTCAAATGTTAAAGCACTTAGCAACCCACACACACCCAAAAGTTCATTCAAATCGGAATAACGGTTCTGAAAAAAAATATCTAAAAAATGCGCAGTAGTTCTATATCCACGGAATATTGGGACAACTTGTATAAATAAACTTTATTAACTTATCATCTAAGCCTATCGAAAAAGTTTATAATGCAATTAGACGATTGAGTAATAATAGTAATTTATATTCATATTGTGATGAAATCTTGTTTAAATGATAATAATAACCCGTCTCAGTTAAAAAAAAACCTATAGTTTAAATACGAACACAATTACGAGAATTCTGTAATCTGTTTTAAAATAAATACGAGTAGCCCTACCATTTATTTCTTTTTTTTATATATCAACACGGTATTTTTAGTCGATTCCTTACTAGGAGGATTTGGATGGATTGGATTTTTATATGTGGCCCGAACTTTTATATATTATTTTTTTCTTAATTTCTTTTCTTTAAAAAGAGTAGGTAGATATTTCTGTATATAATTTCCAATTTACATGAGCCATTATTGATTTATTTCAGTTTATCACAAAACAAGAGTTATTCGAGAATGCGGATATATACCGGACAATCGAGATGACAAGAGCTGCCTTAGAACAACTGGAACAAGAGATGTGGAAGTGAAATATTGTGCCTGCACTCAACCTTTGTGCAACGAGGGGAGAAATATTCGTCCAGTTCTAGTTACATTAATATTAAATTTCTTTATAACTTGTATCATTTTGTTTTGAAATAGTTGTATATAAGCGTTATTTACCATCTATCTGAATTTTCAGGATTTTTTTCTTAATTATCGACCATACGTCATAAATGGAGGGTTTCAGTAACTAATATAAGATGTATGCGTCATTATTATAAATACGTTACTTAAAAATTTGTTTATACGATATTTTACTGTAATATGTACTTCAATTTTATATTTTTACACGTATTATAAATTTCTCATTTTATACAGGGTGTTTTAAAAAACATGTGCCATCTCTCGTGGGGAGATTCTCGAGGAGATTCCTCACTTAAAAACAAGATTTATCACTAATCAGCATCACTAAAAGTACTTGGAAAAAAATTATAATAAATCGAAATATTATTAAGACTTTAACACCGTGTAGCTACGAAACAAAGCAGAATCGGACCTATGTTGATACGAAAAATAAATCTTATTTGTACGTGAGGAATCTCCCCACGAGAGATGGCACATATTCTTTAACACCCTGTAAACGAGATATTTTCGTAAACTTAGCCTATAATATCAAATTCATCATACGGTGTTGTTTCGAATTACTTTCCTACTATTCCTGGTAGATTGTTTTACTAGCAACTCTTTACTCGCGTCAAAAAAATTTTAGTTTACATTCATCTAGAACAAATGAATCTAGAAAAATTGCCCGAAAACAATTGACCGAAAGAGAATTATCCCAAAATAATTTTGTTAACCGAACATAAAATTACCCGAAAAGATAGTTGCCCGAAAAAATGTCACCGAATTACAGTTCACAGAAATAAAAATTCCCGAAAATGTCGATTTTTGGAAAAGATTGCTCTAATACTGGAGTTGTAGATGTAGACTCCTTATATACAAGAATGAGTACAATACATTTAATCACAGTCCATTTAATATATCTATGAATATATTCAGTGATGGACGGTGGGTAAATACCCAAAGGACAGATAAAAATTGAAAGTGTAGGGTATACATCCATTGGGAAATATTGTAAGGGTATACCCGGCATATTATATTGGTATATTCCTGGTATTATACCGGGGATTTACTATGCAGTCGTTGGGGAATCTCCTTATAACGCTGTGCTGTCGTGTTTCTGATAGTATTTATTGGCTTCTGTACATTCTTGGCTAACTGATGATTTTGTGATCTTTTAGATATTTTGTCAATATCGAACGTAACAAGAAATTATTAAATTTTGTTAGAGTAGGTACCTTAAATTAAGAAAGTAAATATACTTGCTTATATACCGGATATAATGGTATTTATCCAAATTCAATATACACTATATTTACCCATTGAGTATGGGTATAGGTACAAATGTATAAAAATAAACCAGCAATACAATTTTAGCGGCAAATAAGATAAGTTGTGAGTTACACATAAATTCCAGACTTCTTTCTGGATCGTTGGATCTTCCACAATCCGTTGAATTGAAAAAATGTTCTTAGGGGAAATTATATTTTTGAGCAATTTTCTATTAGGGCAATATTCGTTTTGTGAATTGCTTGGGTGAATTTTCTTTCGGGCAATTTTCGGGATACGAGAATATGTCCGCCTTTGAAATTGATCTAATTTCTATTTAATGTAGAACTGTCTGAATTAAATTAGCATGTAAGTAGGATAATAAATAACTAATAACAATATATTACAAAAAAAAATTAGTAGAAGGTGCTAGAAAAAAATACCAAAAATATTTTTATTTCGATGTTAAATATATTCATTTTCAATCTTTTTCTGTGCCTAGCTTTAAGAAAGTTGTTGATATAAGTGAATTTTTGCACTAATGTAAATAAGTACTTATTTACTAGAGAAATACTAATATGTACAAATAATGTATGTGTTATATTAGTTATCATATAATGCTGCATATTTTTTTTACTTCTTTAATACTCAACAGTTTGTACAATCAAAAATTTGTACTTAACCTCTATTGAAATATTAAAAAAATACATCTAGAATAAGAAAAAGAGACAAAATTAATATTAATACTAGCATAATTAAATGACCGGACATGTAATATTAAATTGATTTGGTATAATTCGTTTAAGTCATAGACTTAAAATAAAATATAGACTGAGCATCTCATTCATAAATAGCTGGAACATGCGGTCAGACAATGTCTTGTTATTGTTGTGTTATTGTTTTAGGTTATAACAAGTGCGACACGAGCGATAGATTGGTTGTCTCTGTCGTAACGGTTAACAAGTACACCTGAACTCTCCGTATCATAGCCGGGTAATTTTTTTATTTTAATGAAGCTATAATTAAATTAAAAAAATATCGTATTTAAACTTTTTTATATTTTATTAAGATTTAGGACAGGTTTTTTTAAATAAAAGTTTAGAAAAAACGTCTTAGAGTCCAAAAAGGATAAAAATAATAAAATACACGTTATAGAAGAAATTTTATAATCGAAATTACGTAATTTTTGAAATTAATAATAAATTATTAATTTTAGTCAAACATTTACAACCCCTAATATTAATCAAAAAATCTATTCCACAGATATAATAGAATCGGCGACAGGGAGAGAAAAAATATATGATTGTTGTAATTTTTTTTCTGGTTAAGTGATGTCTTATTATGTAAATTAGAGAAAACATAAATCTGTTCCATTAAAGCAAGGAAGGGGATAGGAAGTGGATAAAATGAAAACTACATTTATTTAACTCGGTACTGTCTTTATTATACCGGGTGCGTCCCAAAAGTGGCTCATCCCCATAATTTTTTTATATTTTCAAATAAAAAAAACAAGATTTAGTATGTTAGTATATGACATAAATTAGGATTGATTGACGCATTCAATTGTTTTTGGTCACTTCCTGTTTCACCGGAAATGACTATAACTTTTAATTTTTAAACGGCACCCTCGGTATATTTCTACTTTATTCGATAGAAAATGACACTCTGAATAGAATGACATATCATCTTTCAACCGGCCTAGACAAGACACGAAACCTATTAGACGATCAAAACTATTTTTCCAAGGCTCCTTGATTAAAACTTATTGTTTTTAACAACACCATGGCACCCTGGATTGAAATTTAAAATACGATTTGTTTTTAAGCGACAATGTCAAAAGTTGACATATGATATGTCATTCTATTCAGAGTGTCATTTTTTATCGAATAAAGTAGCAATATACCGAGGGTGCCTTTAAAAATCAAAAGATGTAATCATTTCGGTGAAACAGGAAGAGACCAAAAACAATTGAATACGTCAATAAATCCTAATTTATGTCATATACCTAACTAACAAATCTGATTTTTTTTATCTGAAAAAATAAAAAAGTTATAGGGGGTGAGCCACTTTTGAGACGACCCGGTATATTAAAAAATATTGTTTCATAATGTAATATCATTTTAAAATTCTTGTATGTTATTTTAGATTCTGAAGATAATTTTAGAATAAACCGGAATATATTTTTAATAAAAACATTATTAATTACTAACAGGGTTATAATTATGATTTTGTTACAATGTAAGTAAGTAAATAATGTAATCTAAGAGAAAAAATTCAGATTTTACATTTTACTAAAATATTATCTAAATAAGCGCCTTTCTACAACAACGCCACTGACTCCAAATTGAGAGTTGCCTACCGGTCGAAAGTCGTTTCAAGACTTAAATGGATTATTGAAGTCAAATTTCTTGCAAATTTGGCACTGGCGAACCATATTTTATAGTTCTTGAACAGAAAAAGTCAATAAAATAAACACTTAAGGACTACAAGCTAAGAAAATGCGTTAATACAGCCGGGGACATAGCGGCAACAAAGCTTTACCGCACCCGTGCGACGCGTATTACAAGGTAATAAATGAATGAATAGGCTCCCTCGCCTCTAATCGGTGTTGTCATATTGTAAAGAACTTATCCTTTTTAAACAGTATCCGACTTATAATTTAGTAGTATAAGGACTATTTAATACATCTATGGAATATTAAAACCTACTTTATTAACATGTAGTATTAATATCTCAATATATGTGTGTATAACAAGAAAAAAAATATTGATAATATTAAAGACGTGACAACATAGGCTGGATGAGGAAGGCTCGGTCGACTGTACCCAGAAGTAAACATGTGTACAAAAAAGATTGTTTGACCGCGTTGAGATGTAAATAGTGTAGTCTATATTTTATTTTAAGTCTATGGTTTAAGCCTGGTTGACATGGTCAAAGCAAAGTCAAAGTGTACTTGGATCAAATACACTGTGACGCTGTTTAGGGGGAGGGGGATCGTACAAATTTTCAGCCTTCAGAAAACAGTTTGGAGGTGAAAATTAAAATAACACCTATGCGCGCTTCTCAGCGCCAGTTGTCCCGGAAGTGGAACTGTTGACTGTACCTTTGCTTTTAACACTAAAATGCAACCGATTTTGAAAATATGAGCAGCATAAAATTCAGAAAACTCTTGCATATTTTTGCACCCGGCTCTTGATTAAAAAAGGGGATTAATGTTTTGGATAACTTGAATTTACAAAATTGTATTTTTACTAGATGTATAGTTGAAGCATTTTTTAAAATATGCTTCGACTTAAAATAATATCATTTAATATAAATAATTAAAATATTGAAAATCACACCAAACCAATCATTATACATTATAATAAAGACTAAATATTAAATATTTTTTCACTATTTAAGTCTATTATCTGGAATTATATTGAAAAACAAATTAATAAGATAAATAATACTGTATGCAACAGTCGCATTTAGAAGACTAAAGCTCCGCGTTTTTAAAGAGATAAGTTAATGTTACAATACAAAATGCTTCTAAATAAGTGCCTCAATCTGTATGAGTTTAAAATGTTTGATATATAGTCAGTGGCGGAAATCCAAAAAATCTATTACAGGACTGAAAAAACGTTTAAATTTAGAAACCATTAAAACTATTTTTTTCTTTTTTGTTCTCCACAAAAAATCTGCCACTGAATATTATATATTATCTCAAAATTTACTCTCTTAAATTCCGTCAATAAAATAAGCAATATGAATATAATCTTATACGATATTTGCTAAATGTTTTGTATAATAATGTTACAGTGGCTGCTCGTCAGGGTAGGCAAGGTAGGTGGCGCCTACCCTAAAATTTTGGCAGAATTTAAGCGGTTTGTTACATTACATTATTTACTATTAATGTTGCCAATACATAAAAATACTGTTAATACACGGAAGTGTGTTATAATAATCAATATTATTTTAATATTTGTGGTCTTGTATATTAAAATATTCACTACCGCTGGCGTCTGCTGCGTTAGAAAACTAATAAAATAATTTTTGTTCGCCGATTTCTACATCGCCTACTATCAGAGTCGATGCACGACGTACGGCAGTATTCTGTCTCTATCTAACTCATCGTGCGGTAGCGACGCGACGTAAGTCGGAGTTGTATCGTATTAAGGCGGGGCTTAGGCGAAATCTCCGGTCGCCTTCGCATGAAGTCGTGGAGGCTCGGTAGGCTTAGAAGTTAAGGCGATATTCCCGATATTTTATAAGGGAGTATATCACATTTCGTTAAGGGGTTATTTCATATGATTCATTATACATAGCATTTAAAGCTTTTATATGAAAATTCAAAAAACGTTTAAAACAAATTGGAAACATTATTCAAAATGATATAACCGGTTGTATTTCAGAACGCGCCACAGAAATAAAAGAATCCGAAATAAAAGAGCGCGTTATTCGGTGCAAGAAGACGATATAACAGATATTACAGAAAAGTTTCAGTGTGCTAATTAATTCGATATGTTAATAAATGTTACCTATTTTATGAAATATTAGACAACATTGATATACATTAGAAATAAGGTTTGCAGATAGGTACTCGTATGTCTCAATTATTTTTATTTATCCTAATAAATCCGAAATTTAAAGAATCCTATAAAAAATTTCCAACGCATTTAATATCTGATTTAACAAACATAAAATGTTAGTGACCAACATAAATTAATGAATAAATTGCAGGTATTAATAATAGATATGATAATTTCGATTATAAACTAATTTAAGGAGAATAATCCTGGAAATATATTTCCAGAGGCTTTCAAATTGTTGGTTTTGATTGTTACTACACCATTTACAAGTACTTGGGTTGAGAGACTTTTTCATGTTTGAAATGCATTAAAATTTATAGTAGAGATTCCATGAAAAATAAACATTTATCGCCACTTGCCTTACTTTCAATCTAAAAAGATCTTTTCACAGCTCTTCAACAATCTGATTATTTTACTGATATAATATTAAATATTTTTTCTTTATCAAGAGATCGACTCATCAATTTAATATACAGGGTGTTTCAAAACAAATGCGAAAAACTTCAGGGGGTGATTCCTTGTTAAAAATAAAGGGTAGTTTGCTTTATCAACGTTGGATCAAAAGTCAACCATTAGGGAGATATCGCGGTACAAAGATGGCGGAAAAATAATGGTTTTATTTTTTATCTTGAAAACGAAAAGCGATAGACTAATGAAATTTTATGGAAGCATTACTGTTATGAAAACACACTTTCTGGTAATTTTTTTACTTTTTTAAAATGAGTGAAAGGTGTTGAAATAAACTCCCCCTATCATTCTTGTTAACGAAATTTAAAGAAAAATATTATCAAACACATGCAAGAAAATTAATTTGGATAGTTTAGTTTATTTAGAAACTTTTTATCTCTTGTGTTTTTTTGATAAAAGTCACCGATTTGAAATTAAAAATAAAACGTAAAGCATTACCATGTCAGGACAAAAAACATTTTTAGATAAGGAATCTAGTAGGTTAGGTTAGGTTAGGTTGTCACTTTTTAGGATGTTTCTAATATTATTTTATTTGACATTACTCTACTGCAATACGTTATTATCTTACGATCAATTAATTATTCCGAAGCCTTTTTTCTTTATCTAAAAATGTTTTCTGCCCTGACATGTAATGCTTTACATTTTATTTTTTAATTTCAAATCGGTGACTTTTATCAAAAAAACACAAGAGATAAAAAAGTTTCTAAATCAATTGAACTATCCAAATTAACTTTTTTGCATGTGTTTGATACGATTTTCTTTAAATTTCGTTAACAAGAATGATAGGGGTAGTTTATTTCAACCCCTTCCACTCATTTTAAAAAAGTGAAAAATTACCAGAGTTACCAAGTGTGTTTTCATAACAGTAATGCTTCCATAAA